GAAGGGCACACCGGGCGCCATCAGCGTTGCGAAAACGCAACGACGGGCACATCAGACGGACATAAAGTGCACTGAACTGCCGTATATGCTATTATGTTTTGACAAAACATCAATCAACTGTTGACAACTATTGCTTGAAAATGCGGAACCCACATCCGTCATGCTCTATAACCCGCCTAAGAGCCTCAGTGAGGAAGCATAACTTCATGATTAGCGAACGGGGAGATGGCAACACGGTCATTATCAACCATTTACGTTGTCCATTGCTGTTCATTTAAAGTTGTGGTCGACACGTATCCAGGGTGATGCTTCCTTTTTGGAAGCTAGACAGATCCATTACCTCCACCTATCAGACCCTGCACAGTGCACACTGAATACAATTAAACGGAGGATTGGGAGTAAACCAGTGCCTCTCGTATGCGCGTATATCCGCAATCATTTTTAACCACCCTCCTAGGAGTAAAGTTAAATTCCATTGCAGGTTAGTCGTATCTACTCTAAGCAAAAAGAAAAAGGACCGATACGGCTCTAACAAATTACCCGCGTAAGGCGTAGCGCATCACAACAAATCGACTCCCAGTTTATCATGTTTACACCTAATCCAAAATTTTCATGGCCCCACTCTCAGCGACCTTCACGTGTAACCTCTTTCTCGAGACAATGCCAGGACAGAATGGTGATTCGACGTCAATCCGTCCTTTCCATCTTCAGGATAGTTGAATCCTCCTCCACGCCTCATCCCCCTGTTCCGGGCTGGACCGGCAACGTATATCGCAATCGGGCAGCTCACATAGGAGCGCGCCTGTAGCCGGGTGCAGTGAGTGCTTGGGAGGGGGGAAGAGGGTGGGTCATGGGTGGCGGCTGCCCACTGGCTGGGCTCAGTCTCCAGTCTACGATTGACCGTGTCCGGTCAGACAAATGTCTCCCCTAATTCCAATAATCCTGCTAGCTCTAAAAATGGTCTGATTAGATAAAAAGCCTATCAAAGTAAGAAAACAGGCGTATACTCCACATCAAGCAGCTTATGAATCTATGCGAGTTATGAATCCTAAAAATTATTATTTTCCCATGGGTCCGCCCTCATTACCCCTGCCGAAGGGCTCAGCTACCCTCAGAGGGGACCTATCCCACTATTTGCCGACCCTCAGTTATCTTTTCTAACGTAAATGCTGGTAGTCAGCAGATTCTATCCAGAGAATGGCGATGCCTATCTGTCGCCTGATACCAGAATACATCCCCGTTATTCATTATTTATGCACAATGTACAATGTACATAGTAGATCCAATTTCCAAAGGACCTAATTATCTCTCAGCTCCGTTAGCATCGCCAACCGTTTGATGCATGGGTCCTTTTCCTACCATGCGATTTTCAAATGCATGGGAACACATTGCTTAGTGAACGAACAGCCCGAGGCCGAAAATCTGCGAGAGAAAAAGAAAGGAGTGTTTGTGGCTGTTTGAGCCAGCAAATATGAAATGTGTCGCAACATTTTACGTGCGAACGCACCTTGCACTACACATACCTATATACGTCCCTCATGGCAAGTTAAACCAAGCCAAGAGAGGAAATGTGATCGCATGGTACGTACCGAATTCACTTAATACCGTGCGTACTTAATAGATATACTGTAAAATACACATAAATGCTGAAAAAATGAACCTTATTCACATCGCTTTACAACTAACCTATGTGGTCGGATCGGAGTTGCGACATTCAGGTCCCCGCACTCTGCGGCAACGGACGGCGTGCCGCACGTAGAGACGCTGGCGGGCGCCTCGGACGGAGCGGCCCTGGCGGGCGTAGAGACGCTGGCGGGCGCCTCGGACGGAGCGGCCCTGGTGGGCGCCTCGGACGGAGCGGCCCTGGCGGGCGCCGCGGGCGTAGAGGACCAGGAGTAGGCCAAGGTCTCCGGGTGACTGAGGAGACGAACAGGAGTGGATTGAACATGGGACTGCATGGCAATGAACAGCATGGAACTGCGCCAAGGTCAGTAAAGCACAAGACGGACGCATACTGCTGATGCATGATGACCGATACATAAACACAATGCCCTGAAAAGAAACCAACCAGATATTTTGAAAAGTTTACACATTGTCTTAGTGCGTAAGCTGTTAGAGTCTCAGACCAAAAAGCTGTCAGAGTCTCAGACACAGGCCGCGAGCTACAAATCCACTGGAGGGGAGGGGAGGGAGGGGAGGGAGGGAGGGAGGGAGGGAGGGAGGGAGGGGGAGGAGAAGCGGCCGCTGCGGAACAGCCGGACGTCCCAATCGACTTCGCCAGCGCCAGAAGCGCGATCGGGCGTCGGGTGGGGACGATGGTCGACGCGAGAACAGGAGCGTCCCACCCCCACCCGGCGCCCACACCGGGCCACAACGATCTGTCCCGCTGGGAGGCGTGTACCCTCTCCCAGCTGCGGACGGGCGCGTCGCCGCTCACGCGGGACGTCGCCCACCGCCTAGGCTTGGCGGTGAACGCGGCCTGCCCTGCGTGCGGCGAGCCGGACAGCGCGGCCCACCTGTTGACCGACTGTCCGGCCTATGAAGCTGCGCGACGCCGCCGCTGGGGACTCGACCCGAGCCTGGGGGACGTCCTCGGCGGACCGGCGACGTTGGTGATAGAATTCATCCGGGCTGTCCGGCGAGTCGACCCTCCGATCGACCCTCCGATAGAGAGAGAGAGAGAGAGAGAGAGAGAGAGAGAGAGAGAGAGAGAGAGAGAGAGAGAGAGAGAGAGAGAGAGAGAGAGAGAGAGAGACTGACAGAGAGAGAGAGAGAGAGAGAGAGAGAGAAGAGAGAGAGAGAGAGAAAGAGAGAGAAAGAGAGAGAAAGAGAGAGAGAGAGAGAAAGAGAGAGAGAAAGAGAGAGAGAAGAGAGAGAGAAGAGAGAGAGAGAGAGAGAGAGAGAGAGAGAGAGAGAGAGAGAGAGAGAGAGAGAGAGAGAGAGAGAGAGAGAGAGAGAGAGAGAGAGAGAGAGAGAGAGACTCGTCGCATCTAATAAACTGGCCGCTGGAAGATACTTTCATCACCTGCAGACAATTAATACAAACGGCACATGACATCCAGATAATGAACTGCACAAGTATCACCCTACAGCTGAGTTATGTAGGCACAAAGTTGCATTGCAATAGGTACACTCAATGGAATAGAGCAATCCAGTTTCAGAAAAAAATCATATAAATGGGTCCAGAAAGATAATGATGGAGAAATGATTCAACAAAGAAACAAGTTGAGAACACAAGAAGCAGGTTCCCTAAAAATAATTGTATCAGTGTTATCGGTGAAGTTGTCTGACACACAATGACAAAAATAACAAAAAGACAGAAAGTGAGTGTATGATTACTCTAAATTTACCTGGACAAAACTAATCAGTAATAGCTCACCTCCACTCTCCGCCCTGCGTGGCTACATCAGGCGAGGTGCCATGCAGAAGGGCGCTGGTCGGCACCGCAGACAAAGCGGCGCTGGCGGGGACCGCAGACGAAGCGGCGCTGGCGGGGGCCGCAGACGAAGAGGCGCTGGCGGGCGTAGAGGACCAGGAGTAGGCCAAGGTCTCCGGGTGACTGAGGAGACGAACAGGAGTGGATTGAACATGGGACTGCATGGCAATGAACAGCATGGAACTGCGCCTAGGTCAGTGGAGCACAAGATGGACGCACACTGCTGATGCATGATGACCAATAGATAAACACAATCCCCTGAAAAGAAACCAACCAGATTTAGGAAGGGTGTACACATTGTCTAAGCGCGTGTATGTAACACACGCCACTGGTCCAGCTGTGACCAGCTGCTGTATTACTTTTTACTTTTTGGGACCTCCGCTGTTCCTACGACGTCATTTGGAAGCAATACCTAATTTGGCATGCTTAAAGTGCGGCAGATGTTGCGCGCAATGCAGCATATATCACTAGGTGTTACCAAACGTTTTAGTAAAATATTTTAAAATCGTCAGATCTGCGCTGACGTCACACATTCAGAGGGGGACATTCAAAAACATTAGCCCTTCTGAATCCAAGTGCTGCAACTTTGAGATCAAATATTTTCGATTTGAAGCATTTTTCGATGTTGTGAGTACCCAAACCGGTAATTGCACGCCAGGGACCCCAATCTTGCTATCTCAACTGAAAACTAATGCTAAGGTGGGATGGTCACTTAAAGGAGAGGGCTGCATAACATATTAGCAGCCGCTGGAAATTATCTTCATATGCAAACCATTCAACATACAAACAAAACATGATATTTTAATGAAATACACTTCTTATTAGCCTAGAGCTAGGCACAAAGTTGCATTTTTGTACATCCCATGGCATATAGCAATTCTATCCATGAAAAAGTACATAGTTTGGTTAAGGGATACAGATTCAACAAAGAAACAAGGTGAGAAGTGAGAACAAATACAAATGGGTCCCCTGGACCCTCATCCCTGAAAATATTATGTTGATTGGTGAGGCGACTCTGATGATGTGGCATGAACATGATATTTCTGAATTTACCTGGACAAAACTAATCAGTAATAGCTCACCTCCACTCTCCGCCCTGCGTGGCTACATCAGGCGAGGTACCATGCAGAAGGGCGCTGGTCGGCACCGCAGACGAAGCGGCGCTGGCGGGGACCGCAGACGAAGCGGCGCTGGTCGGCACCGCAGACGAAGCGGCGCTGGCGGGGACCGCAGACGAAGCGGCGCTGGCGGGGGCCGCAGACGAAGCGGCGCTGGTCGGCACCGCAGACGAAGCGGCGCTGGTCGGCACCGCAGACGAAGCGGCGCTGGCGGGGACCGCAGACGAAGCGGCGCTGGCGGGGGCCGCAGACGAAGCGGCGCTGGTCGGCACCGCAGACGAAGCGGCGCTGGGCACCGCAGACGAAGCGGCGCTGGCGGGGGCCGCAGACGAAGCGGCGCTGGCGGGGGCCGCAGACGAAGCGGCGCTGGTCGGCACCGCAGACGAAGCGGCGCTGGTCGGCACCGCAGACGAAGCGGCGCTGGTCGGCACCGCAGACGAAGCGGCGCTGGTCGGCACCGCAGACGAAGCGGCGCTGGCGGGGGCCGCAGACGAAGTGGCGCTGGCGGGGGCCGCAGACGAAGCGGCGCTGGTCGGCACCGCAGACGAAGCGGCGCTGGCGGGCGTAGAGGACCAGGAGTAGGTCAAGGTCTCCGGGTGACTGAGGAGACGAACAGGAGTGGATTGAACATGTGATTTAATGGTTGTGAACAGCATTGAAATGTACCCATTTCAGAGCAGAAACGCATACTAATTGGTGCGTGATGATGTTTGTAATGTGATGGTGTGTGGAACGGTGATATGATGATGTGCTGAGCATATACCCGTTGGTCATTAGAGGGTAGTGATTGATTAGGATATTGCAATCTCCTGTGAAAGGAGGAAAATGGATTAAAACATATTTGCAAATGTACACAAAATTACCCTCCCACCTTCAAAAAAGTTAATGAATTGGCATGACAGTGATGTCGCTCGGTTCAGAAAAAGCGAAAAAGAATATCTACCAAATTTCACTGAAAAATATTCACCGGTTTTCAAGATATTAGACTTTTACTTTTGTTTACTTTTTGGGATCTCCGCTGTTCCTAGCGACTTTATTTGGAAGCAATAGTTTGGCAGCTGAAAGTGCGGCACTTGCTGCGCGCAAAGCAGCATATACCACCGCATGCTATCAAACGTTTTAGTCAAAACATTTAAAAATCGTTAGATCTGGGCGCTGACGTCACACATTCAGAGGGGTATCAAATGCATTAGCCCCTCTGAATCCAAAGTGCTGCAACTTTGAAATTAGATATTTTCGATTTGAGGCATTTCTCGATGTTGTGAGTGCTCAAACCAGTAATTGTGAGCCAGGGACCCCATTTTGGCTATCTCAACTCAAATCTAATGTTAAGGTGGGAGGGTCCCTTTAACAAAGATGTCAAAGGTGAAGGTCTCGAAATAAATAACGAGTGAGTATGAAATGTCATAATTCTTTCATTCAACGTCATTTATTAAGTTGTCTAAATAAATATCAATGGATAATGAAATACATTTCATACTCATTTGTTATTTATTTGATGTCTTCCATGTCTTGTACTAATTGAGTTCAGTTAGTTCCAGCTTCCAACAAGGACTCTGCAGGGGTCAGCCTGTCGCTCGTTTGTTTACAGCCCTATCCTGATTTGCAATATTTTTGACCACACTTTCATTAGGGTACTGGGTAGCATAGTATGTCTGAAAGGTGGCCAAAAAGATGGCAAATCAGGATAGGGCTGTAAAACAAGTGAGCAACAGGGTGACCCCTGCATGTGCAGAAGTGAAAGGATTTAGATTACTTCCAGATATGTGGAAAGGACCTTACTGACTAGTGACTGGGTAAGATACATAACCATTCCATAAGGGTACCTACTGGGTAGCATAGTATGTCTGAAAGGGGGGCCAAAAAGATCAGATGGCAAAGCATAGAAATGTGTCCCAAATAAAGAAATCAACAATTGACAGTGAAAGGCAAAGCTCTATGATATAAACACTATCAATGGCAAACACTGGCAGCACTACCAAGTGCTTATCAGTTGCTGGTAATCCTCACCAGACAATGCTGACATGCAGAGCATTTTCAGATCCGGAATGGCGCTGGCTCTCCTGGAAGAAAACAAAATAGTCATTAATTGATGTTGAAAGAAAGCAAAGTAATCATTAGGTATTAGGTAATTATTAGGTACGTAATAGTTATCATTTGGCCGGACGGCAACCATCATAAGGATTATAAGGAGGCACATTTATTTTTTATAAATTTAGTCCGAACCTTTTGAATGGAAGGATTCTCAAGGACAGAGCCACCGCTAAGCAGAGCTCGTTGCGATGGCTCTGCCCTCTACCCTCCGATCGTGCAATTCCTGGTGCATGGCAGAATTTAGAGTCAGAAGTTTAACTACGCACATAGCCGCGCACGGCCGGTCCCCTCACTGACTTCGCCTGGCTACGGCCTGCCACCAACCGCAACCATACCCGCCAGGAGGCTCATAAACATCGAGCGCCCGTCGCGCTTCGAACCCGGACCGTCATACCGGGACACGAGCTCTCACCTCGCGGAGTCCAACGCTCTACCGACTGAGCTACAGGACCAGCTTTATTTATGAGTTTGATTAGGTCAGGTTTGGTTTGGTTTGGTTTGGTTTTGTTTGATTTGATTTGGTTTGGTAACTGGTTAGGCTAGAAAGGACTAAGGAGTATCTCCAAGTAGCGCGGACCCAAAATGCAGAGTGAGATATACCTAGTGGCTACAGTTTTTGCGCACTCTCCGTAGAAGCCTGCCCAAACGGTCTGAGGAATATTCCCTGGGATTCTCTTAGCAGACATCACCCGAGCTGCCATATCCAGTTAGGTAGGTTGGTAGGTTGTAGGTTGGTAGGTTGTAGGTTGTAGGTAAGGTAAGGTCAGGTTAGATATGTTTTGTTATATATTTAACCATGAAAAGACAATTGTTGCGCAAGTGAGACATAGATATGGCAGCTCGGGTGACGTCTGCAAAGAGAGTACCTGATCCCCGATGAAAAAACGAAACCGCCCATCCGAACGCAGCATGTGTCTGCCCCAACCAGATCTTGTCGAACCCTGCCACGTTTTGCAGACTGGATCGCTCCCAAAAATAGCAGAATCGTTGTCATTTTTAGCACATGTGACAAAAATAGCATATGATAAAAATGACTGATTGACCAAACCTCCCAGACTGATACAAATTCCTGTGAATCTGCACAGCACAAGAGTAAATTCACACTGCAAACATCAATGGAGAGCCCAGCTATGAGCCAACACATCAGTCAAGTAATCTCACCTGAACAATTTTCATCTGCGACCTGCCATAGGAAATACACTTAGGGCCTGTTCCAGCGCCTCCAGAAACCTCCAGAAAGCTCCAGAAAGCTCTAGAATCCTCCAGAGAGCGTTCCAGCGCCTCCAGAAAGCTCCAGAAAGCTCTCGCCAAAGCTCCAGAAACCTCCAGTAGCCTCCAGAGAGTTGAGAGGTCCAAATTTCTCTGGAGGCTCTGGTCTACAATTATGGCGCACATGTGACAATCACGAATGTAAACAAAGGACTTTTGACTGATTATTTTACAACTTGAATGTAAAGAAAATTACATTGCTATAATTTTGTTAATCTTTCTGAATAAAATTGAAAATAAATTTTGCGTTTCAAGACAGAACAATCGTCATTCCTTTGGTATCTGTGATACCAATCTCCAGAAATCTCCAGATTGCGTTCCAGCGCCTCCAGTGAAACCTCTGGTAGAGCCTCCAGTCAAGAATTTCTACTGGAGGCGCTGGAACAGGCCCTTATGATGACACAGGTATCGTCCAGCAAGCTTGCCAGGGTCACCCATTCCCAGGGCCTGAATGACGGACTTCGAAACGTACTTGGAACCAATCTTGTTCAATTTTGGCACTTCCGACTCACTTGAAATCAGTGCGTGCCCCCCATATGCACAACGCCGTCTTCTGCCGTCAATATTCATCTTGAAATTTAGAAGCCAAGGCGTACAAGCGCTCAAATCTCGGGCAACATGGCGTCCAAATGGCGTCGGCGACGGAAGTGGCGCACGTCGCCATTTCTAATATACGGTTTATAACAAAAACGAGATAGTTTTCGACAAATTTAGCCATTTTCCGTAAAACCATATGCTTAATGAGGTATATCAATCGAAAGTCAATACGCTAATATATCTCAATCAACAACTTGTAGAGGCCAGCTCCCTCCCATTTTTCAACTACCTCTTTACCATAGTGCCTTTTTTCATTCAGACATTGAAGCCTTTAGGGGCGAATTTCGCCTTTTTCCGTAGAACCTTAAGCTTAATGAAAATTAACATCTAACAGACAATTAAATACTGGTGCTAATTTTAATTTTTATAGAGGCCAGCTCACTCTAGTTTTTTTATAGGAACGCTCTGTCTAAGGGCCATCACTTCTTATCAAGCACAAAATGGCACTTTGAAAAGCGATAATTTAATGTTTTTCTGTTGTTTTCCAAAAAGTTCATATCAAGAGAATGCAAAAATCAATTTCATTTCTAAAAACATCAGAATTAAGTAGGTTCACTGCCTAGATACTGAGATATCCGAGGCTTCCTGAAGGCATGATGTCATACCGTGAAATTACAAATTTCTTGGCAAGAACGAATTTTAATGAGGATAACTAAAAATATGTCTTTATTAAATCGCGAAACATAAGTAATAGCAAAGTATTAGGAAAATCTGTAAAGTAGTTACGTAGCAAGTATCTTGCAAATCATGCTAGCACTAGTTGTCAAGACCTGAACCCGTTGCCTTCATGTTGAAGGAATTTTTCGGTGTTACCTAGTGTTTTTATATACCTTGTTGTATACCTGTCCTGTAAATCAAAGCATTTTTGTGCCTGCAAAGGCTTAAGTTCTTTGTGGTGTGTTCGGAGTGAGGCTATATATATATGGCTGTTTTTGTTTTATGTTTATGTGGAGATTGAATATAGCTGTGACCCTGTGCTTGTTTGTATACTTACTATGGTCAAACAGGGAACAGCACATTCACATAACATACTCACCTAGCACCCAGGGGGGTGACACGGCTATTCGCGCAATGTATTCATTTATGGGCCGCGCGGGGCCTCGCGATGACGCGGCTGGAGGCAACTGCTCAGCGCGCTAGGATACTTCTGGCGGGGCCGGGCGCTGAACGGTGTGCAATGAATGGGTTATGGTCGGGCAGACAGAGATGAGGCATTGAATTTGAATTGACATCAGCAATCGGGTGGGGAAGGAGAACGTTTCTAATCGAGCTTGGGATGGGGAAAGCCGAAAATATCACGATCGGCTCATAGCTCCGACAGGGCCGGGTGCTGTACCATGTGTATGTAGTATATTTAGGCGGGCAGACAGAGATGAGTTATTTGATTTAAATTCACCTTACCATCGGTTTCTGGTGAGGTTTGAAGACGTCTTCAGTCAAGCTCGGAGTGGGGCAACGGCCACTGGCGGATCCAGGGGAAGGCATTTGGGGCAAATGTCTTCCCCAACAACCAGGGCAGCGCCCGAAATCGATTTTCGAGAATAAATGAAAACTTCACAACTTTTCTGAGGAAATGTTGGTTAATCACACCGCGCAGCAGTGCGCAAGGAATCGAAATCCGAGTTTTTTAAATTAATTCCGAGAAACCTTTTTGGGGTAAGCCCCCGCAGTGTCCAATACCGCTTCCTGGATCCGCCAGTTGTGAATAAGTCACGGTCGATACCGAGCTTCGGCGGGACCACGCGCTGTACACGTTGTTCTTTGAATGAAGAGGTGGACAGACACCTAGCCCCACATCCTACTGCTATGCCCGTACTTCTGTGGGTGAAGCACTAAAGTATCACGGAATCCCAGAGGACCTGCGAGTCGACGAGGTGGCCGCTTTGGCCGCCGGATACTGCAGCTCCCTGGAGTTGCCTGGGACCGATGGCAAAACAACAGCTCCGGCGGTGCCCCTATGGGCCGTAGTAATTAGTGAATTCCCGTAATGTAGAGATCATATCCTCAATCTCCATTACCATTTTATATTCCTAAACAATATGACAGACCAATTATGCTTGCCTACGTTCAGGCATTACCTCTGATGGTCATACGCCCAGTAGGGGAAGGTGGGGTAAGACGGACCAGCTAAGGTTTGAGGCCGCATATCTTGCTACACTGCTCTCGTAATTCATATTATTTATAGTCTTCGGAATGCTCAATCCTTCCTCTGTTGATATGTGTAAAGACTAAATTTCAAATTAAAGACATCTAGGTGGTGGATGCTCTTAAAGAGGGACATGTCAAAAACTCAGACAGGAAAAAACGTGGGGTAAGACGGACCACCCAGCAGTGCCTGCTATCCGTTCATGTGTGTTACACTTCTGCTCTGTACTCTTGTAAGAAAAAGTAACCAGAATGGTAAAATAACAAAATGAGCCTTTATTCTTTACTCATGTGTGATGGAAGTGCAGCTAAAAGCTGGGAACATGTGTGTTGATTGTCGTTTGGCATGAATGCATGCTAACTGAGCACTTTCATGCATGGCTCACATGCAACGAAGACTCCTTCCTGAAAAATTAGCTTACTTAAACTTGTGTCAATGTTTTGGAGAGAAAAAATTTCCATATGCAGGGTACAATGGACCACCACAGGGTAAGATGGATCACAGTGGTCCGTCTTGCCCCAAATCTAAATTCTGTCATTATCATGACGTATATGTCAAATAGCCCAGCATTGCAAAACCTTGCCTTTCCTAAAGTGTGATTATAACTATGTTTATAACTTTGTTCTTCACAGTAAAGTGCAAAATAGAAACTAATCATGCAAGAAAGGCGCCGTAATTGAATCACCCGTAGACCTCTTATATTAGATCGGTTTGACGAAAAACAACATTTTTCTCAATAACTCAAAAGCTATGCGTCCTAGCAGCATGAGCTCAAGGTGGTCATTGTTACGAAGGAAAACAAACATAGTGAGTGCATAAAGCAGTAGATACCAGCAGCGGTTCAGCCGGGAGGGCTGGTGGTCCGTCTTGCCCCGCTGGGCCGTCTTACCCCACCTTCCCCTACAACATGTGTTGTCTGTCAAACAACAATCGACGACGGGATCCCTTCTCATCATCTCTTAAGCCATCGGTTGTCAATTCACCCACCCCGTTTCCCTAAAAATAGACGGTCAGATTCGGCCTGGGTCCTTCCGACCCCTCTAAATTCGCCAGAGACGGGATCGGATCGCCGTTATTGCACCCATCTTAGTGTCTTAAATACTATGACAGCTTCGACCACGGACGTCGGACGGGGTGATCGTTCCACGAATGTACGCACCATCTAGGCCTAGGATGCATCGAGGTTTAAAAGGATGGTCTGCAGATCAATCAACAAACAATGGTGGTATGCAACCACTTTAAAATATCTCCCTGGCTCCCGCAACGTTCCAACGCCCCTCCGTTATGCATTCGCCCTGTGTGTCCGCCGAGCCGGCTTGCCTCCAATGACGTCATCGGCCGGCCGGCGGCGTTCAAGGTCAAACGGCTGGTGTCCTTACCTGGAGTTCTATAGCCTTGCTAGCACCTAACTCATAGCTGTACCCTGCAGGATCTGTACTTGTTCATGTCTCGAGCATTAACAAAGCACTAAAGTAGCTAAGTAATCATTTCCCACATTTTCTGAGCATCTAACATGACATACAGCAGTGCAGAGCAGCTTCAGAGAAGAAACACTTTAAATGCACAGACTCACACCAGCCACCCAATGAGCCAGTTCCTCATTTGGCTGTTTCCCTGGATGCAGCTTGGCAAGGTGAGCCAACAATTGGCAAGTTGAAGGTTAGCAGGTAAGATTGAGTTAGGGTGAGTACCTACCTATAACTGGGTGCTACTGCTATGCAGGTCTTGGGTAGGCTGCAAATATGTGTGATGATTGAGGTTAGGTCAGCTGTCAGGTTATTCAGGTATGCTCATTGCTCAGGTCACATTTTTATGGACACTTGGCAAATTAAAAAACTAACTCACATAACCTAATCTAAGCTGAATCTTGATCTAAGCTAACCCGACTAAACCCACACAACTGCTGACTATAGGAACTAAGCACCTACCTACATGTGCCTACATCTCATACCATGTCAAAGTAGGTAGAGTTCCAATTGGTGGAAGATTACCCTCAGTACTTCTTATCCCAGCCCTGTGAAGAAAACTAATACTTCTAAGCTCTGAGTCACTGCTGGCCATCCACAGGAAGAAACGCTGAGACTGAGAGCTTTGCCATTGTATATTGGACCAACAATCACTATCACAAATGACTATATGAACACATTATATGATCACGATCATGGGCGGCGCCACCGGGGGGGACGGGGGGGACAGGTCCCCCGCTA